AAAAATAAGATTGGCAATTTTGCTTTATACGCCCTCTTAATATTTAAAATCAACTGAATATTAAAAGTACAAAAATAGTGGGTCGGTTTTGGCTAATGTCTACTGTCAACTGCACATCAGATTTTACGTAATATTGCTTCTAATGATATGTCGTACACAAATCGCTGGGGAACCAAAACAGACAAAGTTCCAAACTCTTAAAAGGTTAAAAATAAATAGATTGTTTGCGAAGTTGATATATTTTCCTACCGCTCATTAACATTTAAGATTATTTCTTCAAAACAATGAGTCATTATTCTATGTATATGTATCTTAATAATAAATATTATTTTTTGATTTCCTTAATTGTACAACAGAGCGCTTTCCCATTAATGTTGTAAACAATGTTATCGTGAGCGCGTACGCAAACATTGTATCTCTTTATACGCCTATTGTACTTAATTTAGGTACACAATTTATAACCAAGTGTGTGTTTGTTTTCACCATCACCCATCTACGTATAATATTTTACGCAGTTTCTGTATTAAGTTGAGGAATAATCCACTTTACCTGTTTCCGCCTTATTTGGGTGGAAAGGGGCTCTCTCTCACATAGTTTTCTAATCATATTTTCATTGCGTGGAGACCCTACTTCACCAATCCCTGGGGTTTGATTCGAGCACATTGTTGAGAATGAGTTCTTTTGAAGATTATTTCAAATATCGCGTGAAGTTAACGAATACTGCTATCATATACACATATAGCTGCGATCATAGTTTATTTAATCGAAGGCTTGAGTGTGCTAATTTCTTTTTGTACTGTGTTTAGAGTTCCAATCTCGATGTATTATGTATATATATTTACGATCTCAATGATAATATCGATGTGCCAAAAACTAATTTATTTTACAAATAACTTATTTATAACTAACCTTTATTAGCACTTTTTAATAAGTACTCTGAAGAACATTTAGGGATTTAATTGAGAGACTGTATAGGCCCACTCTTGTTTCTCGTACTAGCAATTCAGACGTCATACCGTAAACCTAATGTATAACGCGTGTATAAGGCTATGTAGGTAGGTATAACGCGTACACACGACTGATATGAATTCTATTCAATTGCAGCAAGGTATAATGAATGTCATAAATATAGGAAATAAACAATTTAAAAATTATCTAACTAGGTACATTTAAACCGTAAGCTCTACCCAAAACAAATGTAGGACCGATGAGTTTAAATTGCTGATTAACTAAATACCTACACATTACTTATTTCATACGTCTTTTTGTTTTATTATTAAGATAATGGTGTATCTGTTCGCTAAATATAGTCTACAGTGAACAAACCAAAGGTTGTAAAGTTATGTGAATAAAATATGTTTTTTTTTGTAACTATAAACATATATTTAAATTACTTAAACAGTTCCAAGCATACAACAGCAAACGTCACCAATTAGAAAGGTTGAAAGTGCTACATTTTTGCGGATAACGTTGGATAGACATTGCAACTGGAAAGAACATACTGATACACTATGCACTAAACTGCAAAGATTTATATATGTTTTGTACAGACTGACTCGCGTAGCTGGTATCAATGCTGCACTCTATGCCTATCACGGCTACATAGCATCAATTCTCCGGTACATCATTATAATATGATATCATTAAAGCATTCCGAGCCCAGAAAAAATGCCTTAGATCAATAACTAAAGCCCGACCATTAGAAAGCTGTGTCCCACTCTTCAAACATTTAAAAATATTACCACTCCCATCTTTATACATATTCGAACTCTGTATCTTTGTACATAAAAATAAAGCTTAATTTCCAGTACATAATGATGTTGTTACAAGAAAAAGCCGAACTATCCACAAATTATGTGTACCCCAACAAAGGATTAAATTATTTGCCAATAATGTTTACTGTATGGCAATTCGTGTTTATAATAAATTACCTAATGTTTCTAAAAACCTTAACTTCATGACATTTAAAAATAAAATATTTGACTTCCTATTGTATAAGTGTTACTTCTCAACAAATGAGTTTTTAAATAAAAAAATTGACTCAAATTATAAATTAGACGACGACTTGCCTTTATATTCTCAATAATTCAATTCAATTTAATACCTATAACATTGCTTTGAATCATTTTTTACATTTTATTTTATAATCCTCAAGTATATTTAATAATTCTTGACATTTTATTTAATCTTTTTTGACATTGTATTTAATAATTCTTGACAATATTGTATTTACTAATCCTTCCTGGAAATATTTGTACGCTGGAAACAGCAGAATATTATGAATGTCATATTATGTCTAACACCTGTACCTCAACAATATTCTACAAATAAATAAATAAAAAATAAAAAAAAACTTGGTACCCTTCTTCATAGAACTTGTAGTAGCATAGAAGTTTTATAATATTCAAAATAGATTCATTTATTCATTCAAATTCTTACACATCATTTCTCAAAGGCTGACTGAATGGAAAAATATATGTTTAACTAAGAGAGGTGTCCAGATTTGACAACCGAGTGGTAAATGTAGGGATACGTTGATCAACCCTTTTAAGAACCTGGGGGTTAGTCTTACATGGGCTTGGAATGTAACCATTTATTAGCATTAGCTACCTACCGCTCGCTACCTATTCCATTAAATATGACATAGAAAGTCGCTGCCATCAGTTTTCAGGATGCTGTTTAAGTCTTTGACTCAGCTCAATATGATGCTAATTTACTATGACAACGAGACATGTGACGATGCACGCTTTCCTAAAAAAAGAATTCATCTTTCGTCGCACCTTCAGTAAGACAAAGGCATAAATGACAGAAATTAAAAACTCAATTATAAAAATATCCTCTTTTAAATAGGAAAGAAACTATTAGATTTTCTAGTAAATTTCAGAAGGCAATAAAGCAACGCGGTAATATAAGCATAATTATACGATAATAATTAAAAAATACTTAAAACGGACTCTCCTGGACATTTACAAAGAGTGCAATTATGCCTTTGTCTTACTGAAGGTGCAATATGTTTTTTTTAAAAGGCTTACTAGCAATTACTAGTATTCCCGTTAACCCCATGTCGTATATGGGTCGGGACGGCGAACGGGGGGGAACAGAGGTCGAGGTCGGTCGGCACATCAAATACCTCGGCCTGACCCTGGACAGCCGCTGGAGCTTCGAAGAGCATTTCGAGTTCGCTTGGTGGCGGGCTCCCTACAGAGGCTGATGCCTAATCTAGGGGCTCCGCGGGAGGAACTTCGCTGCTTCTACTGTGCGGTATATGGGCAAAGCGCTTATCGGCCTCCTTCCACTGACGAGCTAAGCTCAATCAAGAGCTGCGGGTAGCGGCCATTCGGATCGTACGGGGACACCACACCATATCGTCGGAGGCGGCGACAGTCCTGGCACGTTTCCCGCCTTTTGATATCCTGGCGGATATGGACGCGACGGTCTACTACCAGACTCGCGCGATGCGCCGGGGTGAGAGAGGGGAAGACCAGGACGAGCTCGAAATACGGCGGTACGCTCACCAACAACTACAGGTGCAGTGCGCGTGCGGCTGGAACAGCCGCGAAATACGTGCCAACGCGCTATCGGTACTGTTCTGCCTAACCTCGAAACTTGGGTAGGTAGGAAAAGAGGTCGTGTCACCTACCGACTGACGCAGGTACTCAATGGGCATGGTAGCTTCGGTGAATACCGAATTATCCGAATCGTATCCTACGCGAGGAGACGGCACAATGCCCGCACTGCGCAGCCGACTGGAACTCCGGCAAGCACACGCTGGCGTCTGAGCGCGAAGTTGATTTGGACGAGACCTGTTCCCGCCAGCAATTATTACTGCCATGCTAGCGGGTGAGGACGGATGGGGCGCAGTGGACATCTGAGGCCGGCTGTCGGGGTGGTTTTTAGTGGAATCACCACATACGCCTGGCTCCTGAGTCCCCGAGGAGCAGGAGATCTGAAGTGATTTTTCACCCCGTCAACAAAAAAAAGGCTACCGCCGGTTTAGAACTATTTCAGTGCACTTATTTCATAACAATTTTTTTTCGAATCATGAAAAGAAATAAAAAAAAAAGACAAAGAATAAATAGAGAATATTTTCAGTTAGTCCGATATGTGATGCGCATAGCTTCTTCATAAATAACAGATCCAAGGTCATTGTAATCCGCACAGACAGCAATAGAATATATAACTTACATGATTATAACATGCCTTCAAGTGCAGCAGAACGCGTTAGCTTATCAATGACGTCAACAAGGGTTATCAGGGTGAAATGAACCGCGGAAACTCAGCAAGTGGTCATACAGGTCACACTCAATATAAATAGGTTGCTGTTTTGCCACTCCGAGATGAGGTGCCTAGGTCAATTTCGTACGAGAAATAAATGTTTACTCAAACACTTCACTTAAATTAATAAAAATTCAATGGATACTTTCAATTCACACCGTTTTATCATATTTCTTCTCATCTTCCAATTTTATTTGTGGTCGGCACAATGTGTGCACGTTTCAAAGAGTTTTAGGTATATATGTGTTCTTAGGAATGTAATCGTTTCATGAAAGGACTAAAGAAGAAGGTAACAAAAGGTGGGGTAGGTTAGACGGGTAAGGTGAGGAAGTTAGTACGACGGATACCACTCTTAGATGAGATAATGAGAATGAAACTGCAGCAACTGGTCGTCGGAATTAACCGACTAAAACCAAATTTCCACTAACAAATTTAGAAATTAAATAGCATGATTAAAATTGATCATAGACAAAAATAAAATCACGTTAGAAAGTTTTTAATTGTTAAATCAAATATTAAACTTTTTGACGATGGAAAAGATTCTTCAGCAAGTACAGGTTTGGTGTTTGTTACAAGTGGGATATGAACTGGTCCGACCAGTAACAGTCGCAAAAAAGAAGCTATTCTCCTCTTTTTATTATCTCTTCCCTTGACTGTACTCCTAAATCCATTATTACATTTGTATATCACCGAATTATACTTGATTCCTAACTATCTTGTTACAGGTACTAAACAAATTCTCCATGGCGTAAATGGCAGACTTCGGCCGAGGCAACTGATCGCCATCATGGGGCCTTCCGGAGCCGGGAAGTCTACGCTCCTCGATGTGTTGTCAGGATACCGTATTACTGGTGTCGGTGGTGCTGTTTTTATTAATGGCAGAGGGAGGATTATGAGTAAGTTTTCATCATAATTATATAACTATCATTTTAGCTTAAGTTCTTGTTTATGCGTAACCTGTAAACCATGCGAAATATCGAAATGATTGAATCCATAATCAATAAATTTTAATCTAAATCACTAAACTAGATACGTACACAGTCATACCTATATTTTATAATGAGTATGCAGAAGTGTTTTTAACACTCACATTTTGATTGGATTTATGAGTAATGAGTAACAGAAAGGCCTATGTCCAGCAGTGGACTGTTAAAGGCTGTTGATGATGATTGATGATGATGAATCTTCGAAGTGGGTTGTATATCGTGTCAAAGTTGCAGCTTAATCGATGCAGTACTTTTTGAGTTTTTAAAGCGTACACAAACCAACTTAACATTTATATGAATAAAATAATTAGAAAATGAATCAGAAGAAAGAAGAAGAAAATTGACGGTATAATGCTTTCATTCTACCTCCAATTTTATGTAAAACGAAAATGAAAAATTAAACAGAAGAAAATAGGATTTATAATAAAAGGGAAGGGGGTATTTTGAAAAAAAAAGAGATATTGCTAATAAAGATAAATAGGGAATGCAACCAAGAGGTCGAGAAAGTGAGGTTCCCTATCCTGTGAACCAAAGCCTTTGCTGGCAATTGGGAGTCCTTTACCAAAAAATACTTTTCTAAACTTCTATTTGCTAGAGCGTAAAAGGTTCTTCACCTAACTAAATAAAATAATATTGCTTTTATGGAATCTATTTTCTTTACGTGTCAATATTTTATAAAAAATATGTGTATATGAAATTATTACGAAATCCCGTTTGCGTTATTAAGTAAATGCGTTTATAAGCGTTATACAAATAATATGATTAGATTGCATTTACATGTAATACGTGTTTATCAGCGCTAAACAATAATAAATTAGCTATGAACCACGGACCCGGATTCTAACTGTTAGATAAAACTGTAGTAGTCTAGATATATCTTATATTTAAGTACATTTATAACATATTGCAATACATTAGAACACCAAAATATTTATTGCAATCATGTAAATATTAGCTTCTTTAATTATGGCAAGATAAACATTCATGCTTTGCAAATCATCGGCAATGGTAAAACATGAATTACCGAATTGTCTCAAAACGAACGACTATCTGTTATAACGTAAGACGTCAAGGCTAACAGCAGGGCTAGTCCATAATAAAAAAATTGACCAGTATTTTATAGTGAGCTAATTTTGTTAAAATTGGTAAAGAGGTTATTCGACTAAGAACTAAAGATACCGACATAGTTCGAAGAATAAGCAATGGAATGTTCACATTTGCCGAATGAACGATGGCTGTTAGTTGAAAAAAGTACTGGTATGGGAGCTAAGGAAAGAAAAATGGAAGGTAAGATGTCCCCCATCCAGATGGACTAATGACTATCGACTCGAAGAAGAGAGCTGGGATCGACAGGATACGGAAGGTGTACTTAGGCGTACATAGGTCCTATGTTAAGCTTTGGACTGCTGTAAACTTATTGAATCATTGCATCGCATAAATCGCATTGAATCCTAAAAAATATTTTAAATACTGCATTAAGTCAGTACCTACTGCATTTGTTTACTTTTTAAATATTAAACAAATAAAGTCTCGAAAAATACGGAATAGTACTCCGATTTTTAAGTAAGTTTATCAACTAATTTTAGTCAAGGCATTTTATTGTCTAAATATTAAATCAGCTAAACAAAAAAAAAGAAACCATTGGGCATAGTGTATAGGATTTTTGATATCAGGAGTCCAATTACCCACATCCAGCTTAGTAGTTAGTTTCATTGAAACAAATACTTATAAAACTAGTTTGACCAGTACTTCAACGTTGACCATGAATGACCTTAGTTCTCGCTTGCTTCAAGAATTCAGGTTAGTCAGACATCGGATGTAATAATTATTTAGTTCCAAATACAACAAGCAGTAGGTACGACCCTAGTGTAGTAAAAGTTGTTCTTAATTTAATGAAAATCTAGGTATATTTTAGCCTGAACTCACAGGCCACGAGATATCATTATTCCAAGTTATGTAGAATCATTAACCTGTAGTGTTACCTTAAACAGCGATATTATGAAAATAACAAACCACAAAAGAATTTATTTATCTGAATACCTATGTGATTGAACCTTTAAATCGATACAAAAACTCGTTTGATGTATTTTATGTAAATTAAAACAAAACATATTGTTTGTCTTCAATCGTTACTGGCAGCTTATTAAAATAAAAACTAAATTTAAATTTAAAAAAGGTCAATATCGTTGAATAATGTTTGAGTGCAAGACAAGTGTAATTATGTATGCATGAATAACTCGTATTTATACAATAATGTTCGTTATGACGCCTGATAAGATGTTTTTCATTCCCAGAACGCTTCAAAAAGATGTCATGTTACATCCAACAAGATGATCGTCTTCAGGGATTGCTCACAGTAGGGGAGAACATGACATTAGCAGCAGATTTGAAGTTACCCACCAAATTAGACAAGTACGAGAAGGGTGAAGTTGTAAGTAGCCTTATTAACTTACAGACTATTATTTTGTGCCTACATCCATAAAAAAAAACAATTGGTCACTTTAACCTCCTACGACAAAAAAAGGAGTTGTGTCTAAAAGTTTATAAATTATAAAGAATCCACAGCTTTATTTCACTCACTATATTTTAAAGATTAAGATAATTCAATATTTATCTATGTTACGTTTATATACAGATAGAAGACATACTCACAAACCTGGGTCTTTACGAACATATGAACACTCGCGGGGCACAACTTTCTGGAGGTCAGAGAAAAAGACTGTCCATCGCCTTGGAGCTTATCAACAACCCTCTTGTAATGTTCCTCGATGAACCTACCACGTAAGTCGCCTCTATCTTTTTTTATCTAATCATAAATCCGTTCGAAGGTCTTTCTATTTGCTTACCATATCTAGTAATAATTGCACACATGTTAAAGCACTTGCATTAAGAAAACATTATTTATTAATAATGTAATAGATATAAAACATCCGTGTGGTGATTAAGAATACGGAGTGTCACAAACCCTATTCATCCCGTGGGTGTCGCAAGAGCCGGAGCAAATTACCTACAAGACAACAGCACTGCCAAGAGAAGAAAAACTCAACTGGGTCAAAGCTGAGTGTTCATTTACTCTTTATCTTAAACGTGAATTAAAAATATAATTTGAACGAATCAGTATCACTATCAGTAGAATAAATTATTGCCTGCGGTACCTCAAGAGCGTACTCGTTAGGAAAAGGCCGGCAACGTGTTTGTGACTCCTGAGTTGCAGACGTTCATGGGCGTCGATGGTGACTTTCCATCAGCAGACTCGTCCGCTCGTCTGCCCTTCTAACATAAAAAAAATGCAGGCTATGTAATAGTGACTCTTGAGTCAGACTTCCTTTGTTCAATTGAAGGCTGCAGATGTCAGCGGCGGTAGTCAATTGCTATTAGGTTACCCGCCTCCTCGTTTGCTTGTGTTATGAAAAATCATTTTCATTACACACAACAAATTTCAACTAGTTTGAAGGTTTTATCTATTTTCATAATTATTATCATTAACAGCTTCTAACAATCCACGGCCTAATTCTAGCAATTCAATTTGGCCAAGTAGGCCAAAACCCACGCTGGCAAGGCGGGTTGTATAAAGTTTGTGTCAAGTTTTCTTTCTTTGCAGTGATGTCGTGCTGCGTAGTTTGCTCTCTTAGTCGGTTCTTATAACACTCGCGGAATGAAAGGGGTGGTGACACTCTGTATTCTTAATCCGTCACTACACGGGATTTATTTTACATTTGAAGTATTATAAAGTCCAACGTCACTATCACTAATATTTCAAAAATCAATCTACAATATTACACACGAAGATATCTTTGAAAAATTATTAACTAACCTAGTATTATCACCGTTGTTAAGTGCAGATCAGAGTCAACTTTACTTTAACATATTCCATGCTGCCAATTAATTTTGAAAACCGTCGATTACACGTTTACCCTTTACCCGATGCATTAATAGAAATCTATACTAATATTATAAAACTGAAGAGTTTATTTGTTTGGTTCAACGCGCTAATTTCAGGTCCAAATTAAAAAAAAATTGGTATTGCATACCCCATTTATTGAAGAGGGCTACATAACATCACGCTACGACCAATAGCAGCACAGCATCAATGAAAAATGTTGCAAAAACGGGGCAAAAGAAATCCTTTTGAGAGATGCATTCGAAAATTTGACATAAACCCTATACCTAGTAGATTGGTGATCCGTGCTCCTCTGGAACGCTCTCTCTCTGGAAATCATGATAGCACCCAGCCGCCTCTCATTCCAGATGAAAGTTCGAGCTCGCATTCTGGACACCCTAGTAGATTCATTACAACCTTAAAGTTTTATATAATATCAATATGTAGCTTTATGTATGTATGTAATGAGGTAAGTATTTATGTATCTGTATTTGTTACGTTTGTATGTATGTATTTATCTCAGTGTTTCTGTCTAACTTCTCTATAATTTTCTCTTACTTTACATATCAATCTCTAGTGCTAGTCACACATTTCAGCACCACCCTAAGGTAGACGGGGAGAAAATGCCTGTGACGTTAAGTCCGCTATTGTACAACCGCACTTGTGCATGAAGTATTACAATAAATAATTAGTAGAAGGAAAATGACGAATGAATTTTCTGCGACTACAAGAAATTAATTTTCAAATTTGCATAAACTACAAATAATTAAAAAATAATGAAAGCCATTGTGTTGATGAAAATGATGAAAGCCATTGTGTTTTCATCATTTCCGTGGGTTTTTTTTTAGTTTACACACAAACATTTGTAAGAAATTAATTAGTAATACAATAGTAAGTAATACAAAAAAGTATTACAATAAATAATTAGTAGAAGGAAAATGACGAATGAATTTTCTGCGACTACAAGAAATTAATTTGTTACAAATGTTTGTGTGTAAACTAAAAAAAAAACCACGGAAATGATGAAAACACAATGGCGACAGAAATGAACTATGAAAAAGATGTGAGCGACGACGCGCCAACTGAAGTGTCGCAAAAAAGTATTGTTACACATTTTTCGGTCTCGCTTCCATCTTCTCAGAACATCTAACGCGCGATAAGGAACTTCGTTCCGATAAGTTGGGACACCGATAGTTGCTCCACTGTCCAAAGTGGAGGAACGACGACGGGCTCGGTGAGCACTTACACTGCCACCAAGTAGGCTATGGGGATTGTGTTATGCCGCCGCAAAGCCCGGTGGGTGACGGACCGAGGGAGATTCCACACTTAAAAAAAAGCTTTGAATTCACTAGCATCACAACTAAGACATAAAGGATAATAATATTTTTTATATTTAAAAATATGTATTTTTTAAGTGTATGTTTAAAAATGTAATTAATATGAATATCACAGAAATATAGAGAATAATAATAAGATACACCTGAATAAAATTGTATGTGTTTATTTGTATGTATGGGACATTCCTCACGCTACTAGTTACAGGTATTTTAATGTTACTTTTTTTCTTTTGAATACATTGTGACAAGAATCCATTCTGTAATATTATAAAAGCGAAAATGTGTTTGTTTTTCTATCCATTACTTCTTCACGTTTAAACCCCTAAATCGATTAAAATGAAATTTGGTATAGAGATAGTTTGATTCCCGGGAAAGGGGATGAAATAGTTTTTATCCCAGAAATCATCTTTTCGGGGGGTAAAAAGGGGGTGGAAGTTTGTATTAGAAATCAACAACCGATTTAGATGAAATTTTATATGGGGATATTTTGATGTTTAAGGAAAGACAGGTTACTATTTACCGCGATAACCGACATGCACGCCGGCGGAGTTGCGTACAAAAGCTAGTACTGTACATAAAGTTATTGTAATACAATTTACTACAGGTAAATTAGCTTGGAGAAATTTTTGCGTTTGTAGTAGTGTATGGTCAGAAACTGCGTAAACTGGTTTATTCTGGTTTTGTGCGTGTTTCCACTTTCCACTATCAAGTGACGATTTTTTGCTTTAGATTGAAATATCTCGGAAAAGGTGCGTCCTAGGCCAAAAATAACAAAAATTTTGACCCCCCCGTAGACCCCCCGGAGTTTTATAAACCTAGATGAAAGGAAAAAAAAAATTTATATATCGGTCTCTCCTCTTTGAAGTTTCACTTCTATCGTGTGTGAATCGCACACACACCTTTTTTTTTATAAAGTCAAAACCTTTTTCTTTAAAATAAAAACTTGTTTTTATTGAAAACAAAAATCAGAGTGTTGCTAGGGATAAGTATAAAATCAAATAGTAATGTTAGGATATCGAAACATTTTTGTATAGGCCAGAACGATATAGTGGAAACGCGCTCTAAGATCTCAGTAATAGTACATATGCAAAAATTTCTCGAGACTAATTTCACTGTAGAAACTGTTTTAAGTTATAGTTCTTTTGAAATCTATTTGAAGATTTTCCTATTCATGATAACCTTTTAAATATCTATTTAGGTCCATTAAGAAAGGTCAAGGCATATATTTGAAAAATTTGGACAAGATTGCTTACTAATCAGTATAATTATTGCTCAGCGTATCGAAGTTTACATAACAGAATTTGACACATTTCATTACCGATAATTATGACATTGTTTTCATTTGTTAAGTCATGAGCATATTGTTGACAAAGATTCTTAGACATAACAAAATGTTGACTTTAGTGTTACAATATAATTATAATAATAATATTTTTGGACGTCTGGCACACAACGCCATCTAGTTTCAAACTAAGCAGAGCTTGTACTATGAAAGCTAGATTGACTATTAATAGAAGAATACTTATTTACTTTTTTTTGTAAATACATACATATTGATTGAAACTAACGCATAACACTCACATAATATTAAATTCAGACATAACATCTTAGCCATATAGACAGAACACAGTAAATGTAATCTATAAAAATGTTTGTAATGTCAAAATAATAGGTGTTTTTCATGCTCACACGATTATTTGCAGGATACCTATGCCTAAAAACCAGTTTAATTTATTTTTGTCTGTCTGTCTTTCTGTCTGTCTGTTTGTTCCGGTTACTCTTCTAAATGGCTTGACCGATTTTGATAATAATTGACTACCAGGTAGCTATCTTTATAAGGAGTAACTTAGGCTATTTTTCCTCTCAGAAAAACCTTTGCCCGGTCCTGGAATCGAATCCACTAAGGTAGCGCTTTTCAAATCCACGCGAACGCAGTCGCGGGTACCAGCTAGTTAAATATAAATTTCAATACCCAAAAACTTGAATCCATCTGCGGATATTAATTTTGAATTCTCTAGAAGAACTGTTTCAAGAATTCATTAACAAATAACTAGTATTTAAAGTTAAACGACCAATATAATAACTCTTAATTAAGGAGAAACCAATTTTAAGTCAATGCCAAACAAAAAACAAAACAATTATAGAAGTATTAATGGTACGTGGCAGATTACATCAACGTGCATTCAAACCTGTTATTTGTCAAATCAAACCCATACGAGTATTATGTATGCTAATATATTATAATAAATCTAATAAGTTTTTTTATGTTAGAGGGGCAGACGAGCAGACGGGTCACCTGATGGAAAGTGCAGCCCATGAACGTCTGCAATTTAGGAGTCGCAAATGCGTCGAAAGGCCTTTTAGGAAGCAGTACGCTCTTTTCTAGAAGGTTTGAAGGTCTTATTGGTCCGGCAATACCGGCAGACGATAACTCGTTCCACAGATTGGTTGTGCGGGACAATAAGTGTCTCGAAAAGCGCACCGTAGTGGAGCGCCAACTATCCAGGTGATGAGGATGAAAATTTTGCTGTTGGTATTAGTCAGAACAATTTCTCGGAGCACTCTTCATGAAATATGCGATAGAGAATTCAGAGAGAAGCCACATCTCTACGTACGGCCAAAGGATCGAGCCGATCGGAGATGTTTTGGCCATCGACGATTCGAGTCGCTCTTCTTCTTTCTTTTATGAAACGTGATAATATATATAAAGCAATACCAATAGTTAAATTTATTTTAAATAAAAAAACTTTAAGCCCAATCTTCAAGGCAGATTATAAGCGAGTTTCCATCGCGCTATGATCATTTGAACGCAGACAATGACCTTATCCGCCGTTTTATTTTACGGAAACCTTTTGCTGATATGAAAAGATCTCGATTAATACTGGTTGGTCAAATTAGTTGACTCTTTTAAAGTAAAATAAGTAACTTTTAATGGCGTTTCGAAATTGTTTCAAAAAATATTAACACGGAAACAAAAATGAAAATAAAACAGAAATTTAAAAGCACCCGGTTAACATTTTAGTGTAATTAACTAAATAGACCTCTTATGTAATTAATTTTAATAAGAATAATCAGATTTTATACTTCTTTACACATTAAGTTGGTTTTCTTTCCAGAGGTCTCGACAGTTCCTCCTGCACACAAGTCGTCCAACTTTGCAGAAGCTTGGCTCACCAAGGTCGTACTATCGTCTGCACTGTCCACCAACCATCAGCGTCACTCTTTGCTCTCTTCGACCAAGTCTACGTCCTCGCAGCCGGACAATGTATGTACCAGGGCACTACCAAAAACCTCGTGCCATACTTGGAGCAATCGGGCATACCTTGTCCGATTTATCACAACCCTGCTGATTACAGTAAGTATTATTGAAACAAGTAGAGTTTTGTTTAAAAAAATTGAAACACTTAAGAGCCTTAGGAACTAAGATGGTGCGTAAAAAATTAGGCTTGTTCCTCCCTGATCTATATAGGGTATGGCTCCTCGTGTTCTGAAGAAGTAAAGTCAGAGAGCAGAGCAGAGTAAATAAACATAAATGTTCTTGTCCATCTCGAATGTTCATTTCCCGAGTGCATTTGATGAGAAGAACTTCCCAATTTACAGACTCAAAAGGATCATAATTATGTTTAAACTTGCCAGCACGACTAATAAAATAAATTTATTATAATCTTTAAAAACCTACAGACCGACTTTTTAATTTATACACGAAGTGACGAAAAGAGTAGAGTATAAAATTGGTCTGATTGTTAGAACGTTAGGTTTTAAGGATTAGATACTAACAGAAACTAAACAGCACACAATCTTTTGATAAAAATCTGTTGTCTTTATATTTGCTACTTATGGTATTGTCTTGTATTGTATCACTGAACACTATGTTTCAAAACATGATAGTTGAGACAAGGTAACAACTATTATTTAGGTAATCACATTATCAATCGCTAAATAATAGGTCTTTACCTATGAAATTGCCGTTTTGTATGCACGAAGTGAAAGTACTTATTTTTTTAAACTTTTTTATTCCTGTTATTCGAAGTAATCACCCATGCAATCGACGCATCTTTGCCAACGCATTGGCAGTTTATTGATGCCCTTCTTGTAAAAATCAGCTGGACGGGAGGCAACAAACTCTTCAAAGGCATTTTGTACTGCCTCTCGGGAATTGAATTTAAAAAAAAAAATTTTGGAAAAAGTAATAGTCGGTAGGTGCAAGGTCTGGTGGTCACATCTGCAACCAGCTTTGGTCAATCGGTCTTCCCCAATTCTCCTTCACGACAACGCGCGACCCCATACTGTGCAACAGACAGTCTCCAAGCTTCAAGAGCTGGGGTTGGAAGCTCTCCCTCATCCGCCATACTCACCAGACCTTGCACCTACCGACTTGCGCGTACGCGTTTTAACTTTTAAAAAATTAAACAATTAAATTTAATATCAAAAATATAATTTGATAATGAAATCACATTTTTATTTTACCACTTCCAGTAATCGAGCTCTCTTGCGGTGAATATGGCCATGACAAGATTGAGCTCATGAGTAACAAGTCTGAGAATGGAAGATCACTGGAATGGTTCGATGACTCCAGCAGCATCCTTAGCATGGAGGCCTTACGGAAGAAGTATCCGCTCAGTGTACTTCGAGAAACGGAGCCCACGGGTGGTGACGAGGAAACCAGTCAATCAAACCAAAGATCGGTGCTTATTAAGAGGGGTTTTCTGAAAGCTAAGCGAGATTCGGTAAGTTCCGTTAGCAAACATTGATACTGATTTTATTTTAATGTATTCTATGACGTATTTTAATCCAAGTCTTAAAGATTTATTTTCCTTTCCTTATTGCATGGAATTTCGGGTATATGTTCTCGAGTACATGCTGATTATAAAAATTATAGGCAAATTATTGGAAATTCATTGCCTAATCCTGCCTATACATATCAGGATCACGTTCCTGATACTGAAAATGAGACCTTACGTGTTCCTCATATAGAAGCAATATTCAAGCAATGCTTTAAACCCGTTTGCTTGGGCTCCCGTGACCTCAGTAACTCGGTAAAAATTAACAAAAAAAAACAGTGGCACTCCAGGAGTGCCGACAAAAGTGAAAACTTGTTAATTTTTTTTTATTATAACAGGTTTTTTTTAGTTTTTTTCGATTGTATCAGTTCTACACCGATTTTGTCCTTATGACCTTGAAGAATGAAAAGGCAAAGTAATTTAAACTCAATAAACCCTTTTTTTAAGTTGAACCGACTTCTAGCAATACTAACAAAGAGCACTAAAACCTATCAGCAATCGCGGTTGTTTTGCTGTTAGTTTTTAAGAGTTCCGTTGTCTATCTCCAAAACTCATCATCCGGTCTAAATTATCTAAATTTAAATGGGACCATTTCGGTGTAAACCTCTTTCGAATAAAAAAAGAATTTTGAGAATCCGTCCATATGTGACGGAGTTATGCCCAACATTTATAAATAAAAATATAAACATCCGAATTGATAACCTCCTAATTTTTTAAGTCGTTGTTGCTGTTGTGCTGTTAAAGTTAACGAATTTAATGTTTCTTCCTCAGACAATGACTCACTTGCGACTCATCGTAAACGTGCTAGTAGGCATAATGCTGGGTAGTTTATTCATCGAAGCTGGTAACGAAGGATCAAGAGTACTGGAAAACTACAACCTGTTGTTCGCGATACTGATGCACCACATGATGTCACCGATGATGTTGACCATTCTTACGTGTAAGTATAAATTCGGCTCAACGTGCAAAAAATTAAAAGTATTCCCAAAGAAATGTTTTGCAAATAATAACTATATTTCTCAAATACATTTTCGGCAGCCGAGGAATGTAGACTTTTATATAAATAAGAACCACCCGAATAGGAAATACTTACAACTTTGTTAGAGTAACAAATAATTATAGACACCAGAGCTGAGAATATGTGGTTGGAAGTGCATTTGACTGTATTATGTGAGTCCAAAATTTGCGTCTTTTTCTATTAGTTGTGAACGTGTGCTCATAACCTGGATGCGGGTGCTCGTTTACCTCGCACTACATGCATATACAACTGCCTATTAAGCCATAATTTCATCTCAAATTTGCACAAAAACAGAATATCGTGGGTCTCTCGACTATTCGTTCGGTCTATTATAAATGATTATTTGTTTATCGATTCATTGACAATCTTTTAATGATTATTTGCAGTTCCATCAGAGATGTCTGTCTTATCCAAGGAGCACTTTAACCGGTGGTATTCCTTGGGATCCTACTACATATCCATAACACTGGTGGATCTACCTGTATCAGTAAGTATTTTGACTAAGAGTAGGAGCATCTCTAAATACTTTTTAAATTAATCTGTATTAACTACAGTCGAAAGAAACTTATATTCAACAGAAATTTAGAGATTTTTATTAACTTAAAAAGCACTCACATTATGTTACATTACAATTAATTAATGCGGTAGCTTCCTTTTCTTTTTGAAATTAAAAGTACATAAATATCACAATTTTTGATTCAGTCCTTTTCTTCTTAATTATAAAATACCAAAATAAATTACGTGTTAACCTAAACGAACCACATTAAAAAGGTAAAAAACAGTTTCAATATTAAAATTATCATCTCATAAGTTCACCTACAAGCTGAAATGTTTATAGTTTACGTCATGAGTCATAGGTAGGTAATCGATTAAAAGATTTTAGTAGGTAATCATATGATTTGAAATAGACAAATATTTTGTGTTGCAGATAGTGGGCTGTGCAATATTCAGTGTGATAGTATACACGATGTCGGCTCAGCCCCTGGATATCGTGCGGTTTGCCATGTTTTTTGCCATCTCGTTGTACACGGTGCTGGTCGCGCAGAGCTTGGGCCTCATGATTGGTGCTGTCTTCAGTGTTGTGGTAATTATCTACACATAAAATAGGTTTCTGTACTAAAACAAAGTTTCTGTACTAAATTATTACAAAAGGAAGGAAGTGACTATAGAATAAAACTTATGTAGTCATCGGGTATCGAATAAAATAGTAAATTTAATTTATGTGGCACAATAAAATGGTAGATATTATAACAGTTAATAATCTATCGACGATCTGAGTGTTGTGGGTTTGATCTCCCCATGGAACAACACTTTTTGTGATATACAAATTGTTTTTCTGTCTGGGTGTTCTTTGTGTCCGTTTCACGTGTTGTGTATGTTTGTAAAGTCCTCCGCGACATAGGATATATCACTTTTTGTTTTTTTTTTTTTTTCGTGCGGAGATCCCCTAGGATACCACCTATTGGTGACATATCGGACTCGAACCGACTAAAACCGCACGCCGTCTCGGGTACTAATAGCCGGGGAACCAGGTATACCCTAGAAAGGAAGTCAGGATATATCCCTAGTGCGGGAGTTGTCTTTCACAAAAAGAAAATAATAATAATATTTCATGCCGTCCGTGAATAGACAGTAACAACTGCTTAATTAGGTACATAATGTATATGTACATAATTTATTAACATTAAAATTAATAAATGTAGTCCACCTCTGGTACTCACAGTAAGATATAAGATGTAACTTATATAGAATACATTGATCTGCCCATAGTTGAAATTAATACCATCTTCAGCAATAGACGATAGAATATTAAAATATTAATTTAACAAAATTAGCAAACACCTTTTTACCCATTAGTATAATTATCAAATTAATAGACTCTTCTTTCCAGAATGGTACCTTCCTGGGCCCAACAATCTCCGTTCCCATGATGATGTTCGCCGGTTTCGGTGTAACTCTACGAGATCTCCCCAACTACCTCTACTGGGGTTCCTATATATCGTACCTTCGGTATGGACTGGAGGGCTTCATTGGTGCCATATACGGTTTGGGGAGGCCAGTTTTGGACTGCAACAAAGCCTTGTACTGCCATTACAAGTAAGTTTTATTAACACTAGTTGTATACATCGACAGTAAAAAATCAAATGTGGTTTATAAGGATTGGCTATCAGAGTGGCAATGCTGCCAGTTTTTGTAGAAAATTATTAAGCAATAAGAGGTGTAGGAAAAATTTTGGTGCTCAGGCTAATATATCAATAGTTAGTCAATTTAAACGTAACAGAATTTCTTCACCTTGCAGTACCAGAAGACTGACGGTAGTATTACACTTAGAGGCTAATCTTTTGGGGTGATGATGAGCAAAAGGAGATCATTCCGTCATGTTATCTATATATATATATATATATATAAGAGATTTCCACGTATCTAGTCACTCATCACGATATCTCTGGAACCATTAAAGCTAAAGACTTGAAATTTGGTAGGAATATTCTTTTCACCGAGTAGAGGTCAGCTAAGAACGGATTTTAAGAAATTCAAAAAAAAAGTTTTTAAATAATGTAAATAGCAAAACAACGTTTGCAGGGTCAGCTAGTTCCTTCTATTTAAGATGCCGTAGTTCTAACAAAGGAAGAACCCTTATAATTTTGGGTTTGTCCGTCTGTCTGTTCCCGGCTAAGCTTATAGACTGTGCAGTGTCTGGTATAGTTAGACATATATAGAATAGAAGCATATTTTTCCTGTGATCCGTTTGAAAATACTAAACTTTAAAATGGTAATATTTGTTACAATCAAGTGCTAGAGTGGGACACTATAACCCAACAAGAATATTTCCAATCTCCTAATTGGACTTGCTACTGAAGAATCATCTCCACTCAAGTTGATAGTGTCGAGATACTCCAGGAAAAAGGTTCTCCACAGTACTATTAAGAAAGTCTTAACACCATATATTTTGCCAATCTTGTTATATTGAGGAATAGTCATCGACTTCAAATGCAAAATATTTTACTCCTTGATCAGTTAAAGTTTCTATCAAATTTTACTTTTCTTTTCTTCCCATATTCACGACTGAATTCTGATAATGATAATATTAAACATATTTTATATTTTTCAGACATCCTCGTACGTTCCTGAATGAGGTAGCGATGTCTCCCGACATGTTCTGGTGGGACGTGCTCGCGCTCACAGCTTATGTCTTTGTACTAAGGATTGCAGCTTTTATACTTCTAAAGTGGAAACTTAACGCTGTGCGATAAACAAGTCATTAGTCTTTATTTCGCTATGCTCAATAACAGCATCATATCGTAGCAAAAGTCGATAATAGACAGAGAACGTAAAACAATCAATTTTTAAAATGATGATGAAAATAGATTTGATCGATAGTTTCTGGCCATTTTATTTTATGTTACTAAGATATTTTCTGTTGCTAGAAGTAGTTTACATACGATGGAAATTTCAGAAAACATGTTTTCGTAAACATACCTATATAATCATTTTTAAATTTGATGTAAAATTGTTACCACGTTAAAGGAATTGCCACAAAGAAATAAATAATTAATTTGAATAATTTTATATCAAATTTTTGCGGGAAATTTGGAAATTAGTTATTAAATAATTATAAAATGTTTTATAACCATTAAGTTCAAAACTTAGTAATACACATTTTCAGTCCTATGGGTCCAAAGGTAAAACTGTGATAACTTTCCGTATTCTTGACATATATTTTCATGACTTTTTTGATTAATATTCTTCTTTTTCTTTGTCTGAAATTGTTTTATTTTTTGTACATTTTTAGTAAAAGTAGTAATTGGTATAAAGGGTAAACAAATGTAACATTCGAGGCTGTGAAATGTGTTTATTATGCAAATGGATACGAAAATTTACAAGTATTAAAATACTTTTATAATTTCTCCAAGCGTGATTCCTAAAAATGTTGCCATTGTATGGAGTTTATATTCTGGACTGACATTTTAATAGAATTTTTGTGAGTTCTTCTTAAATTAATAAAAATACTGCAAAACTCTTGTGTTCATTCCAAAAAAAAGACATTATTAAGAAAAGTAAAAGACAACTCTAAATTGAAAAGATTTTAAACAACACTGAATTTAATAAACTCCGCATATCATCGGTATCACGAACCTAGCATATCCGCTACGTTCGTGATACCAAATATTCAATCTAATTTATTCTTAACAGAAGAATGATTTTTAAATTTGGAAATTACCTGACCAGAATATTTATTTAGTGAAACTGTTATTTCTTTTATATTTTTTCAGATTTGAAACATCAGCATATTTATTTATTATTAAAAAGGATTATGTGGCGGTACCAGTTAGACAAAGTAGTGTTAAAAGTACCCACTATGAGATGCAGTTCATAATATACATATATTTATTGTACTATGACGATAAAGTACCTACCAGTTATGTAGGACGTAATGTACATACATATTTGTGTTAGTTATATTTACTTTGATTAGTTGCTCAATTAGTTATATATTTATTTGTAACTAGATTTAGAAGTGTTAGAAGTACATATATAAGAATTGAATGTATGTAGTGTACGTAGATAGTGTATAAGATTATATATGGTGATATATTTTGTGAATATGTTTTTATAATACATTTATAATTTTGGTAACATGTATTTTATTTTACGTGATCGAAATCGGTCAGTTACTTAATTGCATCTTACAACACGATGGTGACCGTTTTGGAACGAAGTTCCTTATCGCGCGTTGTGAAAGGGGGCTAGACGGAAAAAATTCTCACGAAAAGTTGTAACGGCACTTTTTATTTTGAACTGTCACTTGTCAGTCATTCAGCGCCATCTATCGAATAGATAGGAAATCATTACTTTCCATCTCAGTAAAATTAAAATTTATGTTCTGAGGTTGAGCAAAAAAGCCGTGTGATTTTAATTACAACGTCATCTATGAAAGCGGCTATTACCTACATATTTTTCAGTTGGTTTCTAATTAAAACAATTTATACATTGGTAAAATCTCCTTGAGAAATGATGTCGAATACAATATTTTTTGCTCAACCTAAGAACATAAATTATAATTTTACTTGTACCTTAAAACATATTAAAAATACATGCTATATTAAGAAATTATCGTATTAAAATTCTAAATAAGATTTAGATTATCTTAAAAGGGATAACCTCAATCTTAAGGTCTGTATCTGAGATAGTACCTGAGTAGGAAGACCTACGTTTTTTGAAGAAGAGAATAAAGTCCTTACTACTACTCCTCGTTCCACATTGAGAAACAGACTGCCGTATCCTTCTTCATTCTAGTTTTCTTTCACTCTGTAAATACTCCGAGTAACAAGCTTTCCTATAGAAAAACTAACCACCTAAGTATTTAGGAAGATGGAATTAATCCATCAATACACTTGTAGCAGGAATGGCTACCTAACGTAATCTCAACATAATCTATTTAAACAAGCATAAATTAAAAAGTAATAGAACAGATACTCTAACATTCCTCAAATGATTAGAAAATAGGTTGTTACCAGTAAACAGATTCGCACTTTTAGTGCAGGGACTAATCCCACCCACACGCCCACCACTGTAACTCCTGTACACCAGGATCCACAGCAGTGACCCACGAACACACCGAGTTATGACACTCGGGAAGTCCCAGGAAGAAATTAAACTGTCTTGGAACCCACAACGAAATTAATCAGTAGAAAATTGGAGGAGTTGGAAATACAGTAAATCCACTTCCCTCCTTAGCAAAGCGAGAGACAAAATAAAGTAAAATAGGCATACACCCTTTTAAACAGGGAAGCACCACGGCCACAAAAATATTACGGGTCCTACGTGAGCTATATTTGATTTCTATAATATGTATGGCAGAATCGCCTAAACACCCTAGTTGACACAAGATCCCCATAGTATTTCGCCCCAGATGTCACCTGCAAGCTATTCAGCATTATATTACGTTCATTATACCAAAGACTACATTCCCAGAGGATATGATGAACAGACTGTTCATGGTGAGAGTGAGGTGTTGAGCATTGACACAATGGTGACTCGACTAATTTAAATGAATACAACTTGCTCTTAAAGTTACCATGACCCGTAAGAAATTGAGCGACACAGTGATCCACCTCAAGCCATGTCCTCGACAACCGTTCGTGAACAGATGGAAAGAATTGGTAAAGATGGCGCCTTTTGGATGATTCGTCCCAGCGTTGCTGCCATTTGTCTGTGAGGTCATTATAGACATCGGACTGCTGTTGAAGCAATCTTGTAATTTTAGTACAGTGACATCAGATAGCAGGTGAAGGATTGGAAGATTTGTACGTTATAGGTGGTGTTCAGATAAAATAAGAGTGTGTTGACGTAAAACCCGATTTATTTTCACTAAGATAATTATTATAAGTTTGCCTAATCAGTGGCTTCATACTACTACGCGACGTGTGTTTAGCGATCGATATTGCACACCGGTTATAAAATGTTTTTGACGTGACAACGTCTTATAATTCGATGGAGCCGGCTGCACGTACGAAAAAACATGACGCAATGCGGCGTTACCTCGCTCTGAGGCGTTCCATTTAAGGCTTGAAGTGCAAGCGATAGCGCGGAACGAGCGACAAGGAGGCACAATCGGCTTCCGCGTTCGGCAGCGTTCGACATCTTCTTCTTCTCTCTCCTACTTGAGTCAGCGGTGCGTCCGCGTGGACAGCTGCTATACAATAATACATTTACATGTTCCCGACAAGTATGAAGCGTAATTAAAATTTTCTTTTGAAAAATGCAAGCTTTCCATCAGTATTTTTTTATGATGTTGTCACGTTCAACTATCGTCAGTAAACCGACTTTACAGACAACCGATTTTTTTTAAATTTATATCTTTGTAAAGTGTAGAATCATGTGCGAGTTTATTTCACATCAACTCGATCGCCACGGTTACCGCGTTCGGCGCTGCGAAATCTTAACCAATAGCAACCCCGAACGCGCTCGCTGTCGAGAGCGCGTTGATGTGAAATAAACTCGCACCTGGCCCTCTGATATTAAGAGACTCGTGGGTTGTCACTCTTTAAAATCCCCCCTGAAATATGAGGGGCGGTTGGGCCTCCTCTGATAACCTCACTGACTTTGTGAAAAGGAACGAAAGAATTGCCTTATAGTTTAATGAGGTTTTCTTAGAGGCCGATGTATCTATTCGATCAAACTGGCCTATATGTGCGGCAGCATAGCTATGAATTTTTTTATGATTTTTTTAATCGAACAATGAAATGAAGAAAAATATACAGTTCTTGAGAGTGTTGCGACTTCCTCATACAGTAAAACAAAGAAACAGAAACATATTACAACGAAATCTAACTAAGACACACCGAACTACAGAGTAACTCCTGAATGAGAATTGCTAATCCTGTACAGCGATATGAGGAATGATCTTGCCGACCCCGACGTGATTGGCAGTAGCCTTCAAATAAGATCCAAAGCACACCATCGCCACCATCGTGTACACTGCGGTGCACCCCAGCGATGAGCTGTAATTAAGTCTCAGCCAGCCAGCAACCTCGGCTACAACAGGGATACCACCTGCAGGTAGCGACCGCTCTAGCCTGGTTACCCTACGGTTTCATCAGCATATAGGCACAGCACACTGCACCTACGGTCCACGTAAGAAGAGCATATCTCTCCCGTCTACGCAGCAGCCAGTTACTACGCAAAAACCGCCCCAACTCACTGGGGACTTCATCGCAGCACCGCATACCGCATGCAATCCCGACTCACTGCGATGAGCGGACTTCAGTCCCGAGTCACAGGGACTAGCGGCACTCGATTCCGACTCGCTGGATACTACTCACTACTAGCACTGGCACGCTCCACAACAGGTTATCTTTTCGGTACTTTTTTCTGCAAAAATATTGCAAACTTTTTTGGATAAATGAATACCGAAATTAATAAACATAAAACAAGATATTTTTTTTAAACAAAAGCAAATTGTTGGGCGTTTCATGGCCGAAAATGGGCATTCCCCTTTTTAACGAGGTTTGTTTTTAATAAAAAAATAACCGCGAAAAATAACTCGAACATTTTCCTGGGGAGTTCGAAATGTGGTATAGAGCCAGGGCCAGCAACCGGGCTGTGACTCCGCCTGGCTCAGGGGTGGTGTTCTTGGAACGGATCGGAATTTTAAGCTGGGTCTTGGAGGTATAGTTAGTGTCGTAAGAGCCGAGTAAGGGAGCAAACTACGCAGGACAACAGCACAGAAAGAGAAGGAAAACTTTAAAAC